AAGAATGTCAGAACTATCTGAAACAGACTACAAAGATAAGGGAAACTTACTAGGAGCCATTGTTGTTGTTGTTGTTTAGTCGTGTCCGACTCTTCGTGACCCCATGGACCAGAGCACGCCAGGCACTTCTGTCTTCCACTGCCTCCCACAGTTTGGTAAAACTCATGCTGGTAGCTTCGAGAACACTATCCAACCATCTCGTCCTCTGTCATCCCCTTCTCCTTGTGCCCTCCATCTTTCCCAACATCAGGGTCTTTTCCAGGGAGTCTTCTCTTCTCATGAGGTGGCCAAAGTATTGGAGACTCAGCTTCATGATCTGTCCTTCCAGTGAGCACTCAGGGCTGATTTCCTTAAGAATGGATAGGTTTGATCTTCTTAGGAGCCATTAAGCCAACCAAAAGCATGGCCTACTCATATCAGACTTGTTAAAGCAACACCTCACCACCAACATTGTTTCCTCATAAGTGATTACAGTGTGCTTTCCAATGCAAGCTCAAAGACTTATAAGGAAATAAATAAAGCTGAAATTAAAAATGACAAGTCTGTAGTGATATGCTGCCCTTAGCATATAGATGATCTAATGTGAACACTTGGAAGCATTTATATTGGCATTATAGACAGTTACCCAATGGGGGATACTCAAGTTCTGGACTATATTCCTAAATCTCTTTTGACAGGTTTTGAATTCTGTGTAATTTCAATAATGCCGCTTCTGATGCTGTAACCGTTTCGATGCTACTTTCATTCCACGCTTTAATTTTGTTTATAATTGCTTTTGTATAGACAGTTTTAATTCTTTCTTATCAAAACAATGCACTGTTTTCCTGTGTAGGTCTATATATGAATTTCAATGTATCCATGTGCTCAAAGGCCACAAAACCATATGCTTGCATCCTTAGGGTATGGGAGAAAAAACAGTATTTTCTCTTTCCCTCCATCTCTCTCCCCCTGCCTCTCTCTCTCACACACATTATTACTTTGCTGTTTTATAGATTAGAGCAGAGGTTTTCAACCTTTCTGAGTCCATGGCTCCCTTGACCAACTACGTTCTTTCTGCAGCACCCCTGTGGGGCTCAGGAGCCTGGTTGTGCCACCCCTTGCCTGCAGAGCTGGCAGCCCCTCACCCCTTTTTGAACACCCTCCCTTGTGGATGTTCCCTCAGCCTCCTCTCCACACTCTTTGGAGTCCTCTGGGCAGCCGCAGCTGCTGACCCTGGTCTCTGAGCTGCCCAGCCGCCTCCAAAAGAGGTGTCTCCTCTCACTGCCCCATAGGGGTCTGGGAAGCACTTCCTGGCCAACCTCAGAGGCACCATTCACCTGGGGAGCTTGTAGCCAGGGCTGCTGCAACAAACAGCTGTGCAAGCCTTTGGGAGGCAGAGATGTGAGAGGGAATCAGAGGAGGGAGGGAAGGAAAGATGGACAGAGGCCAGTGTTACCCATGGCACCCCTGACCATCATTCAAGGCACCCTGGTTGAAAACCACTGATTTAGAGGATTGCCAGTGTGGTGCTTGAAGGAACTCGTGGTTCCATTTAAGGTTCAGCTTCAGCTTGTTGGTTGCTGGAGTTGCATTTAGACCTACCGTATTTTTCGTTCCATAGGACGCTCCGTCCCATAGGACGCACCTACTTTTTTGGGGGGGGAAATAAAGGAAAAATTTTTTTCCTTTATTTCCCCCCCCAAAACCAGGTCGGGGAACAGTGGGATGGCGGCGCTGCGCCTCCCCGTTGTCCCCCGAGCTTGTGGGGCTGGCCGATGTCTGCCCGGCGTGAGGGCGCTCTGCTTCAGGGCGCCCCACGCGCCGGGCGGCAGGCTGCAGACACCTGCGCTGAAGCACGGGGCGTCCTCCGGAGGGCGCCCCGTGCTCCGCGCTGCAGACTGCCGCCCGCAAGCCTTGCGCTCCCGGGGAGATCCCCGGGTGCGCAAGGCTTGCGGACACCTGCGCGAAGCACGGGACGTCCTCCGAGGGCGCCCCGTGCTCCGCGCTGCAGGCTGCCGCCCGCAAGCCGTGCGCGCCCAGGGGGGATCTCCCCCCGGGCGCGCAAGGCTTGCAGACACCTGCACGAAGCACGGGGCGTCCTCCGGAGGCGCCCCGTGCTCCAGCGCTGCAGGCTGCCGCCCGCACGCCTTGCGCTCCTGGGGGGATCTCCCCCCGGGCGTGCAAGGCTTGCCGACACCTGCGCGAAGCACGGGGCGTCCTCCGGAGGGCGCCCCATGCTCCGCGCTGCAGGCTGCCGCCCGCAAGCCTTGCGCTCCCGGGGGAGATCCCCCAGGTGTGCAAGGCTTGCGGACACCTGCGCGAGGCACGGGACGTCCTCCGAGGGCGCCCCGTGCTCCGCGCTGCAGGCTGCCGCCCGCAAGCCGGGCGCGCCCAGGGGATCCCCCCGGGCGCGCAAGGCTTGCAGACACCTGCACGAAGCACGGGGCGTCCTCCGGACGGCGCCGCGTGCTCCGCGCAGCAGGCTGCTGCCCGCTAGCCTTGCGCTCCGGGGGGAGATCCCCCGGGTGTGCAAGGGTTGCGGACACCTGCGCGAAGCATGGGGCGTCCTCCGGAGGGCGCCACGTGCTCCGCGCTGCAGGCTGCCGCCCGCAAGCCGTGCGCTCCCGGGAGATCCCGGGTGCGCAAGGCTTGCGGCACCTGCGCGAGGCACGGGACGTCCTCCGAGGGCGCCCGTGCTCCGCGCTGCAGGCTGCCGCCCGCAGCCTTGCGCTCCCGGGAGATCCCGGGTGCGCAAGGCTTGCGGACACCTGCTGCGGCACGGGGCGTCCTCCGGAGGGCGCCCCGTGCTCCAGCGCTGCAGGCTGCCGCCCGCAAGCCTTGCGCTCCCGGGAGATCCCCGGGTGCGCAAGGCCTGCGGACACCTGCGCGAAGCACGGGACGTCCTCCGAGGGCGCCCCGTGCTCCGCGCTGCAGGCTGCTGCCCGCAAGCCTTGAGTGCCCAGGGGAACTCCCCCCGGGTGCGCAAGGCTTGCAGATAGCTTCCTGGAGCCTGAAGAGCGAGAGGTGTCGGTGCGCACCGACGCCTCTCGCTCTCCAGGCTTCAGCGAAAGCCTGCATTCGCTCCATAGGACGCACACACATTTCCCCTTCATTTTTGGAGGGGAAAAAGTGCGTCCTATGGAGCGAAAAATACGGTATTTTCTCCAACTGACAGCCTAGGTGCTGCCTTGAGGTATCCAGAGTTTCACCTGCTTCGCCTGTCTGCCTGTCTTTGGGACCTTGACCTCTCGCTTGCCTGACTTTGCCTTGCTGGAACCTTTCTCTGCTCTATCTGTCTTTGTTTACTGGGTCCTGAACTGAGACTCAATGGTTTGTGACCTTTGGACCCTAGAATATATGCCTAGCACCCACACCCCTTGGGCTAGCATCTTGTCCTCTGGTTTGGGCTATCTCCTGGCACAGGTCAGGTGAAGACTGTGGAGGGTTGTCAGGGAGCTAATGTTTTTGAGATTTCGGTACTCTGAAGATCCTAGAAATGCCATGTTTGTTCCTACCCGAAACAGGGATGGTGGAGTGGGGGTTTATTCCCTGTCATTACCATTGTCCTATGCTGGCTCAACACCATTGGCACCACCACCACCACCTGACTACAGCTAACAGGCACAATGGCAGTGTTTGCATGTCGCACTGAACCACAGTTTAGCGCAATGTGAAGTAGCAGGAATGAGCTCCAGTGAGCCTTTGACTAATGTGCTCATCTCTGGATGACACAACCATCTGCAATTAAGCAAAAGCAGACAAAGAAAATTCTGAACTCTTCCTCCCATATTCCTTGTTATTGATGCATGGAATCCTTCAGACTTAAATATTAAAACTAGAAGTAATAACTTAGCATGGAAGGAGACATGCAGCCTTTGCAAACGTTTAAACTGAAAGGAGTCCTGAGCACGAGAGAAGTAGATTTAGCTGAGGTTAATACTGATTCATTTATAGCTACCATTTGGAATTAAAAAGCAGCTCCACTGCCCAATTAGACATGGCAAGTTTCTGTGTAGATGCCAGTGCTATAATTTCTAAACCATTAACTTTAACAACCAGACAAACGGCTCAGTCCTCAATAGTTGGTGCCAAACCCCAGTGTCTATTAAGTCTATGTACAACATTTGAGTAGACTGCATAGCTGAGTGATTGTTGAACCACTCCATCAATGATGCTTAAGGCCAGGAACTGAGGTGGTAAAGCTTACAGAGAATGGAAGATCTCTACACTGCCTCTTCTATGCAAAAGCAAGGCCAGGGTGATATAACGGACAGAATGTTGGAACCAAGACCTGTGTTCAAATTACAGCTGAGCACAAATGGCCTCTAGCAATTCTCTACCTTATTTATAGACAGAGAAATTGAGGGAGGATAAATTCTCCACACAATTTCTTGAGGGTGGGGCTCACCATTAGCAGTGACAGTCGCATATCCATTTCTTGCTCATTTTCTCTTTCACTGCCCCCTGCAGGTGACAGCAGCAACAACTGTGTTGGCAACCTGCCACCATTTTGCATCCACCACAATGCCCCAGACCAATAATTGTTCGAGAGCATTGGGAAGGGAGGGAGAAAAATGGCAGTCCCCCCCCCCCCCAAAAAGGTGGAGGATATCCAGAGACAATTATGCCAAGTGGGCTCCTTTCAGGAAGTGGGGGAAAAGAAATTTCAAAAATGTATTCTGAGAAATATTAGTTCAGCTCAAGTTCAAATATATTCTACCAGGTGATCTGTATCAGTTAACATACTTCACAGGGATGTTGTGTGGCTTTTAAAAAGACATACTTTGAGTTCCTTGAATGGCAGCCAGGATGCAAATGTTGTTGGGATACTGCCAGGGAGATAAAGTCCATCATGGCCCCAAGCCGTCTGCCGGACGATCCATCGACCTCCCGTAGGCACGCAGTATCATCAATTAGCGACATGAGTTTCTAGAAGATTTCTTGCCACATTCCAGAGCTCATGCACACTCTATCAGCAGATAATGCACAGCCAAAAGTTGCAGTCAGGAGAGCATTATTTACAAGTTTATTCAGTGTTGATCAGAACACAGAAAAACACGACTGCCTGCTTTAGTGTCTGCGACAACAGAGAGAAAACGAAAGCAACAGAAAACATAAACATCCTGTGAACAGGAAATACGCAGACTCTGACTCACAAAGCCTGCTCCCTTTAAGGTGGAACGGAAATATCCTAACATCCTCCCCCTTTCCGTGTAACCTGTAGTACCTGTGGTTCAACCCAATTGCAACCTTTGTACGTAAACCTTAAGTTGTTCTCTGTTAACAACCTTAGACAACAGATCAGCAGGAATTTCATTTCCTGGCATGTAGGACACCTGAATGAGTCCTTTCTGAATACACTCCCTTGCACGATGTAGCTTAATCTGCAAGTACTTGGTCCTTTGCTTGCAACTCTCCGAGTTCAGCAAAGCCAAACACGATCTATTGTCTTGATACACTTGTACAGGACATTTCACAGAAACTCTGATGTCCTTAAACAGTTGCATCAACCATTCACAATCCATGAGTGAAAATGACAGAGCATTGAGTTCTGCTTCACAGGAACTTAGGCTCACTGTCGTCTGCTTCTTGCACAACCAGTCAAACAGGCAGTGGTTGTACATGTAGCATACTCCAGAAGTGCTTGTACCATCCGTGGTGTCACTTCCAAAACTTGCATCTGCAAAGATTTCAAGACCTCCAGTCTTCTGACTGGTGAACCTCAGCCTGTAGTGCATAGTCCCTTTCAGATAGCGGGCTATGCGCTTCAGAGCTTTCCAATCCTGAACAGTAGGATTGTTGGCATGTCTGCTAAGCAGGTTACAGCTTACAGCTATGTCAGGTCTTGAGCATCTAGCAATGAAATTCAACTTGCCTAGAATGCATCTGTACAGCGTTGTGTCAGAAAACGCTTCAGCAGTACTGTCTACCTGGTAACCTGTCACCATCGGTGTGTCTGCTGGGTTTGCATCAACCAAATTCAACCTGGTTAATACATCAGCAATTTTCTGTGTTTGGTGTACCAGAAAATTACCTGCTTGGTCCTTCTCCACCTGCAGAGAAAGATAGTTGGATACCTCACCAAGATCCTTCATGTCAAAGTGCTCCTTCAGCTGAGCTAGGGTGCTTTGGTAGAAAGCCTGATTCTTCCAAAACATCAGAAGATCATCAACAAAACATAAACAATACAGTTTGTTTTGCCCCTCCTCCTTGACAAACACACACGGATCAGCTTTGCCCTGGTGAAAACCTAGAGAAAGCAATGTCTCAGTGAGCTTTGTGTTCCAACACCTGGCACTCTGCTTGAGACCATATAAGGATTTCCGCAGTTTACAGACCATTCCCTTCTGTATCTGCATCCCGTCAGGTGGAAGCATAAACAGCTCCTCCCCAGAACCCCGTACAAAAAGCTGTATTAATGTCATGATGGGAAACATGCAGTTTCTCCTCTGCAGCTATCTTGAGCATCAGCCGAATGCTCTCATATTTGACGGTGGGTGAGTAGGTCTCGTGGTAATCCTGTCCTGGTACCTGTGAAAAACCTCTGGCAACCAATCTGGCTTTGTGTCTGACAACCTTGCCATTCTGGTCTGTCTTGGCCTTGAAGACCCATTTGCTGCCAACCAGTCTCATTCCTGGGACTACCGGTACCAGTTCCCAAGTTTGGTTCCTGTTCAAGGAATCAACTTCAGCCTTCATGGCATTAAGCCAAGGCTCAGCATCTTTAGAGGTTAACTCCTGAACCTCTTTGAAGCTTGAAGGTTCCCACACCTTCTCTGAGCTACTAAGAACAGCAGTTGCTGTCTTAGCAAACTCATCAGCAAATCTCTTTGGAGGTCTGCCCTTTGTGGCTCTCTCAGATCTGCGTACTAGACGCAAGTCTTCTGGACTCATCTCCTCCTTCTTAGGAGAAAAGTGACCAATGGTGAACAGTGGTTCTTCCAGTTCATTGTCAGACGCATCAGATGGTCTGACTGAGGCCTTTGCGCTCTTGTAGTCTGCTGTGTCATCACTGTCACTGACATCAGCAGCAGCGCCGCCCACTGAACTGGAATCCGAACTCTGATCATCATCGTCATCATCATCCTCAGCAGCTTCCTCAGCTTTAGCTGCTTCTTTGACATCACCTTCATCCTCCTCTGGGTAACTCTGGAAAATTCCCACATTTTCCCCCCACTTAGGATTGTACTCAACACTCTTTGTGAACTTAATGGACTTAGAGTTGGTCATCCATACCCTGTATGCACCTTTTCGTACCCCATGAACAAACCATGTGCCCCACGCTTCCCAAGCTTGTTGCTCTGTGGGGTGTGTACCCACATGTCAGAACCAAAGATTCTCATGTGCTTGATGTTGGGTTTCTTACCAAACATCTTCTCATAGAGGTACAACCAATAGGTGATGACAACCTGCGATTAAAAGTGTAAACAAACGAGTTCAAAGACTCCCCCCAAAACTTCTCAGGGAGATTGGCATCATGCAACAATGTTTTCAGTCCTTGCAGCAACGTTTGATTTGCTCGCTCCGCAAGCCCATTCATCCATGGCGATCTAGGCGTTGACAAGTCATGCTGGATTCCCTTCTCAGTCAGGAAAGCTTCAAACTGCTGAGAAGTGAACTCCCCGCCTCGATCAGTAAACAGACAGCCAATACGTTTACCGTGAACATTCTCCAACCAAGCACAGAATGCCTTGAACTTAGGAAACGCTTGCGATTTCTGCTCGAGCATAAACACATGAATGTACCTGGAAAAAGAATCAATTAGAACCATGAAGTACCTTGCTCCACCCAAAGAGGGCGCAAGTGGACCAACCAGGTCTGCGTGCACTAGCTGGTAGGGTTTGGAAGCCTGCCTGCTAGACTCCTTGCCTTTTGGAGCAACCTTCACCTTGTTCTCTGCACAAGATACACATTTCATGTGAAACTTACAGGGTTTGATGTTCAAACCCTCAACCATCTCTGGCATCTTGGCCAGCGCCTGCCAAGACATGTGACAAAATCTTCTGTGTGCATCATGAATGCATCCTGCATGAAGAACTTTGTTAGTTTGTGCAACACAACAAGAATCAACATTAGACACAATAGCACCATTGTCATCATAAGTTATACAGAACAAACCATCCATAAACTTTGCATGCAAAATGTCCTCTTTGCCTTTTCTGATGACACAGACGCTCCTCTTGAAGGAAATCTCAAAACCACGCCCAGTCAACTGTGGGACACTGAGCAAATTGTCTGCAGCGCCTGGAACATACAGTACATCTTTGATGGTTGTGTGCAGACTTGCCAGTTTCACAGTCCCTTCTCCCGCAATTCGCAACGTCTTTCCGTCAGCCAGGTGGATCTCACCTTCTTGAGGTTTGAAGGAGATAAATAGGTGGCGGTCCTTTGAGACATGGCGGGTACAGCCGGAATCAACAACAAACCTGGCCTTGGCTTTTGGAGCAGCCTTTGCAGCAAGCAAAACCTTGTTTTCCACCGGCGTGGGCTTTGCAGCTTGCCCCCTGCTCCTGGCCATCAGACTTGCCTTTAGCCTTTGGTGAGGCTGTGCCAGCAAACAAAACCTTGTTTTCCACTGGCGTGGGCTTTGCAGCTTGCCCCCCTGCTCCTGGCCATCAGACTTGCCTTTAGCCTTTGGTGCAGCTGTGCCAGCAAACAAAACCTTGTTTTCCACTGGCGTGGGCTCTTCACCCTCCCTCTGCTTCTGGCCATCTGCAGGCGTCTGCCTCTGTTTACCTTTGCCCTTCCGGCCTCTGCAAAGGCGATGACCTTGGCTCCCACGAGAAACAGAGCTCTCAGCTGCCGACTCATTGGCTCCCCTGGAGGCTGGAATGCTGCCTGGGATGACGTGACAGTCAGCTCCCCTGCAGCTTGCAACCGGTGCCCTCGGCATCCCTGCATTCACTCGCATTCTGGGAAACAGCCAGGACCTCCGATGCAGTCAAACTCTGGGCTGGCAGATGGGCTATCTTCAAAGCATGCCACATCTTTCGTGCAGTCAGATTGCCAGCAAGCGTCTTTATGTCCTCCAGAGAGACGGACAAGACGATTATATCTACCGCCTTCGAATTCTCGGCCTCCCATCTATCTGTCAGAGGAACTGGAGGGGCTTCAGACACAGTATGCCACACTCCAAACTGACGCAGCATGCTCTCACACCACACAGCCCAGGTCCCATAATTGTGCCGATTTAACTTTGGGCACTGCAGCCTCAGAGCTTGGAAAAACTCCATTCCAGGTTTCTATTTGAGCCGTGAGTCTTATTCACTTCAGAGACGTCTTATCTCGGCAGCTCATAAATCTTGAGGCCTTTGGCGCGGCTCCCAGATCCATTAATCTGCCAGCCGGACATCAAAGGTGCTTGCCGCGGCAAACAGAAAAGCCTTACTTTCGCTTTTCCTCCACATACCTTTCAGCAGTCTGTCGCAGTCTTACTCTCCTGTAAGTGCTGTGAATCTGGGCCCGAAACCTGTTGTTGGGATACTGCCAGGGAGATAAAGTCCATCATGGCCCCAAGCCGTCTGCCGGACGATCCATCGACCTCCCGTAGGCACGCAGTATCATCAATTAGCGACATGAGTTTCTAGAAGGTTTCTTGCCACATTCCAGAGCTCATGCACACTCTATCAGCAGATAATGCACAGCCAAAAGTTGCAGTCAGGAGAGCATTATTTACAAGTTTATTCAGTGTTGATCAGAACACAGAAAAACACGACTGCCTGCTTTAGTGTCTGCGACAACAGAGAGAAAACGAAAGCAACAGAAAACATAAACATCCTGTGAACAGGAAATACGCAGACTCTGACTCACAAAGCCTGCTCCCTTTTAAGGTGGAACGGAAATATCCTAACAAATATGACATATGAGGGCTCATGAGTCACACCTATAGCACTTTAACAGCCATGAATACCCCCCACAGAATCCTGAGAAACCTTCACAGAGCTATAATTCCCAACACCCTTAGCAAACTGCACTTCCCAAGATTCTATGTAGGAAGACGAGCTTTAAATGCACTCTAAATGTGTGGTGTGGAAGTGACCTGAGTGTAACTGATGAAAGGGCTGTTCAAAACAAATGTTTGCTTTCTTAATTTCCCTTATAGCCTACCTTTGTTCCATGCAATGCAAAGTAGAACATATGAGGTTCCCAAGTGGTCTTCCATTTAGGCACGGACCAGCCCCAGGCTTGCTTTGCTTCTGCAAGTCTATTGCAACACATGCCATCAAACCAGGAGCTGGGGATATATAGTGTTAGAATTCCTGCTCCATGATTGCAGTCATGGGATTTTTGTCTATCACATGACAGTGTATGTTTTGACGCCACAGAGTGGGAAGTGATGGAGACAGGATGTTTGTGTTACTGTGTTCCGTGAAGTGAGACTATTGTCCTTTGTTCTTTCTCTTTGCTGTCTGATGCTAGAGAGAGAGGGAGCCATGTTGCAGTGCTCCGTGTGTGTTTATAGGTAAATAAAGTAGATTAGCCAAAATGCTGAGTTGCTGAGGTCTGTTATGCAAGCTGCGAAGACTCTGCGGATCCCTAAGTGTGCCGATGTCTGTTGGCATCGGTCGCTGTGATGTTCGGGCTGAAGAAAGCTTTTGAAGCTCCTGAACGATCAACCAGGAGGGAGAGACCATGCCAGTCGGGCATGTGTCTCTGCCAGGGTCCTTCTCGAGAGTAGGACGAGCTCCTGCCAGTTCCAGGATCATTTTTTGATAGGGGTGGGCAGTGGCGTAGCGTGGGTTGTCAGCACCCGGGGCAAGGCAAGTAATTTGCGCCCCCTAACCCATGGATTTGCGCACCCTAACCCCCAGATGTTGCGCCCGGTGCGGCCGGCCCCCCCTGCACCCCCCACGCTACGCCACTGGGGGTGGGGTCTTGCGGAAAATACCTTTGGTGAGACCATTCCTTGAGTGGGTTTGCTTCCTCTTGTTCCTGCTGCCCGTTCATTTGTACTTTCTCCTTGATCTCAATCCGCCCAGGGGGAGAGCATAAGGCAGGTGGAGAAAGCTTCTCTATCCCATCACTTCTTGCATGCTCAGAGGGCAGGTGAAAAGTCGGTGATGGAAAGGAGCAGCAGTTGGGGCAAGTGGCTCTGAGGGTCAACAGTGAACTCCTCCTCTGCTGCATGTGGGCCCATGACACCTACAATTACTTTATTTTTGACATCATTTTGTCTAACAAGCAGGGGGGACGTATATTGTTGTGTGGCAGCTTTCATCGATTCCAACTTCACATACAGAAGATCACAGGTTTGGAAGGGACCCTGGATGTCATCCAGACTAACCCTCAACCCACCAAGTCTCCCACCCAACAGACCCTGCACACACATCTCATGCACTTAATTTCTGTGTGTGCATAGATGTGTGATTCAAGGAGATTGGCTATCGCCAGTAGTTCTATTTATATACAATATTAGTCATACTCAGAGTAGACCCACAGAAATTAATGGGCTTGAGGAAACCGTCAGACCATTGATTTCAATTGAATTTCACTTGCATGCCCATTTACCCAGCCATTCTGAATTATTTATTAGACTTTATTCTGATTATACAAGCCTTTTCTTCTTTCTCCCAGGACGCAGGAATAAATGAGTCCGTGCTGTGTCATGTAGTGTGTTTTCTCCCATATCCGTCTAAACATATGCTTTGTACCCTGCTGTTTTTTTGAAAATGTGACTGGATGTTGAACTGTGTGTGGCAGCTAACGGGTTAGTAAATCATGAGGCGCAGATTCTTCAGTGCCTGGAAATCCCCGAAGAGTAAACAAAGTGTAACTGTTGCAAACAATACACTCTCAATATATTGTAGAAGCAATGGCTAATGAAAAGTTATAATGCCTGTAGTTAGCACCCTCTTTAAAAGAATTTACACAGTATATGAAATTAAATTCTATGCACAGTTCTCTTAATTTGTCCTTAATTAAACAATACTCCATAAATGGTGCATTCAGTGACCAAATGTTCAGAGACAGCAAAATGGTGGGTCCCAAGCCATTAGGAATGAAATAAAGTCAGTCCCTGGAGAGCCTGCTAGAATCTGGTCTATCTAAGTGACAACTGATGGTTTAGGAAAGATAATTAACTTTGCAATTACAAACCGCAGCTTTCACCAGGGCTGTTTCTCCCGTTATAATCTTGTAAATGTTCTAGCATTTTTATGTGACGGGATAAAATGTTCCCATACAAGAAGAAGAAGAAGAAGAAGAAGAAGAAGAAGAAGAAGTAAAGTGCATGGCATAGAAGATTAATTCTTCTTTGATCAATTTACTCAGAGTATTTTTAATAAAATATTTAGAACAATAAATATTTGGTGGACAGCCACTTTGAAAATGAAATGTCTGTGGTTAAAGAAACAAGAAATGGAATAACTTTATTCTTGACTGCATGGGATGCAAAAGAATAATATTGGAACAGGCACACATTCAAAATAATGTGATTGTACATTGTTTTTTAAAGAAATGTGTGGATGTGAAATTGGGTTTGCCTGGAACCCTTAGGAAGGAACAATCTGTTATACTTAAGTGGTTAGGGCAGAGTCATAGCTCAGTTGTAGATTTGCATGTTCCAGGCTGAATCCCTGGCATCTCCAGGTAAACCTAGGAGACAGTGGTGTAACATGGGTTGCCAGTGCCCAGGGCTGCACAGAGTGGGGTGGGTGGGAGGGAGGGAAACGGATGGAGTACACATGCACATTCAACTGCCTAACAGCATCTGCGTTACCCAGAAGACTGCAGTCACAGAGATAAGGGGAGGGCAGGAGAGTTGTTCCATTGTCAGAAGAGGTCACTTCCTGGTTTGCACAGAGAAGCCGTTTTCAACAGAGCCCAGTGATGGAGGCACATAGCTGTATGGAGGCAGCACCAGATGTTGGAATTTTGTGCCCCTAACAAATTCTGCACCTGGGGCAATTGCTCCTATACCTCTCCCCCGGCTGTGTCACTGCTAGGAGACACCCCTGCCTGAAATCCTGTAGAGGTACTGCCAGTCAGTGAAAACAATACTTAGCTAGATGAATCAATGGTCTGACTCAGTATAAGGAAGCTTAGTATGTTCTTACATCTCTCGAAGATGTTTATTAAAGAAGATCCAGTCAGTGGCATTCTGCTTTGCTCAACATATACCTTTTTCATTTAAATATTTCTGTTTAACATCTGGGTCAGCAAATGGAGGCTCTTTGAAACATGTTTGGCGCCTTCCAATTGCCAACAAAATAGGCTTAGGGAGAGTTTGTGTGTAATTGTATGTGGCAATTCAAATTGGTGAATTGTATGTGGCAATTCAAATTGGTGGCAGGAGACTTTGGGCAATCAGTCCCTGCCCTGTGGTTTTGGTCAAATTTGGGACAGGTTCAGTGGTAACCTTGGGTTAAGAACATAATTAGTTCTGGAGGTCCGTTCTTAACCTGAAACTGTTCTTAACCTGAGATACCACTTTAGCTATTGGGGTCTCCCACTGCCGTTGTGCCACCACCGCATGATTTCTGTTCTCACCCTGAAGCAAAGTTCTTAACCCGAGGTACTATTTCTGGGTTAGCGGTGTCTGTAACCTGAAGCATCCGTAACCTGAAGCATCTGTAACCTGAGGTACCACTGTAATCCCAAATCTCTTTGTGCAACCATTTCTTTTTCTGAAAAATACTGTTTTCCTATATGATTCATCTTCCTCCAAAATTAAAGGGTAGTGCACGTGCCGCCGCCCCCCATTT